AAAGTGCCATAAAACCATGCAGACATTTTTATGTTAAGTTACAACATGTTGTTACATATGATGTTGTTTCTACTGTTTTGGTACTTTATAATGTAACTACTCAAAATTGGCATACATATTCACTTGTGAAAAAAAGTTCACTCTGAGTGTTGATATGAATATTAAAAAAGTCTAGCACCCCGAGTTATGAATGTTATGCACTTTATGCAAATGAATCTCAGTATTACCATTTTACTTGAATAAGAGGAGTATTTAAAAATAGGGTTTTATATATTTGTTTAGTAATATAAATTTGGGGAGCAGTATATCATAATTATGCACATAACCTACTTGTTATTCTGGTTCAACATATATATCTATATTCTTATTTGTACTCAATCTATTTAGATATCCTTAAATCGCTTTTTGTTATAAAGTTTATAACTGTATGACATAATTTGTCGTATACACATATACAGCTTATGGGAAAAGCAAACATTTGACAAGTTGTGTATTCCAAAGAAGGGCAAATATGTTAAAATACTGGTGTCATAATCTTGAACAAAAATTGATTAATAGAAAAGGTACCACCCATTTTACACACGATGCAGTGGGTAGTCAGTAAGTCACTCAGTGAGAGTCAACGACATGTGTTGACGCATACACAATATGCCATGCCGAATTAACGCAGGTCTACTTTAATATATAAACAAATAAGTAATACAAACTGTAAATAACGACATATGAAGTAATATTCATGCCTGTTTTCTTTGTATTTGGTTTTCTTCAAAATAAATTTTCATCATTATTGCTTATCTATTTAATCTTTCAATATAAATTTAATTGAAACAATTAAAATACACAATTGAAACAAAATCTGTTTTTGAATAGAATACATAGGCTAGGGATATTTCATATCATGTATACGTTTGTTTTTCTCTAGATATGGCACCAATGCTTCTTTTGATATGCATAGTCGCAACAACCATGAGTTTCGGAGAGATTCGAGCTGTTTCCTCCGAGCGATCACAAGATATCGAACTTAATGTCAATAATGGACAAACAAGTGAAAATCATGATGACCGTTCAGATGATCTACTAGTAAGATGTCCTACTGGATTCTGGTGTTGAAGATAATGACACAGCATGAATGAATGAATGAATCATCTGAATAAAACAATTGAAGTTTGAGATAGTGAAATGAAGTCACTTGTATTTTTTTCTATTTATTGACGATATTTGATAGAAACCTGTCTATAGTATCAAGTGTTAATTGTGTTAGAGATCATGAATTACGTTAGTAAACCAATGTTAGTATTCAACATTTAAAATTTGAAAACGTATATACTCAAATTATCGAAAATATGATATGCACCTCCAATCCTACATTATATGCACAACTAATAAGTATACTTCCGTCCTGTATGGGACTAAGTGGAACAGAATAAAATGTATTGGGTGCAATTCGTCATGCATCTTTCCCAAACGATCCGGGATTGGGTGCTCAACATGGCAAATGAGCAGTTATGTAACTCCATGAATATGGGAAGTAATATATATCCATTTGTAGTAGACATATTGCTCGTGCGCATGTGTTTGCCATATGGAATAACTGAATCCTGTTAATTCAGAACATTAGGTTTAAATTTAGTTTCGTAATTGAGTATTACACTTATTTTGTGTTTGGGAAAATAATGACTTAGTCATCTTTAACTTCCAATACCGAATTGACTCATGGGAAATTTGTTTATTTTAGCTCACCATACATCACAATTATGTGCGGATAATTCCCACAGTATTCAGGGCAACGTAGTTTCGTGATCGTCGATTATACGACGTACTTTAAACACTTGAACTTGCCAAAACACTCGTTTATTACTTTCGTCTACGAAATAGAGGTCATTCACAATGTGTAACCAAGGATTAACATTTGTATAATGTCGAAGTAAGTTGTAAATCTATAATGTGAACAATAATTAAACTGCTGATAATAACCACGTTCAGACGGGCTTTCAGCTCGTGCTGAAGGAGGTGGTAATTCTCGAGAAAGTAACTGGCTCGAGCCAAAATCACACCTTTAATTTATCATTTCACAAACAAGTATTTTTCATTTAATCAAAACATTATAACAGTCGTTTGAAATATTACAATCAGACTAAATACAAATATAATATACTGTCTCGGGAAAAAAATCGTGAATAATTCGCCATGAAAAAGATCGATATGAATATAGAATGCTAGTTGATAACTTGAAATTAAAGAAATCGATAAAATGACAAGGTACGTGGCGTAATAGAGTGCATGGAAAACAAACAAAAATATTAAAACAGACGGCCTTTGCGTTTGTTACTACATTACGTAGATTAACACAAAGAGTAGATTATTCCCATAAACATGCACAATTAACGAACTTCACAACACAGCTAAATTTCCAATTTGCCTCAATGTGCAGCTGGTATAAGATTTTTAAATCTTAATTTTGTTGGGCTGGGATGCTATTCTACAAAACAAGGAAGAGTTAATGAAGCCAGTATTATCAGCGATAAAACATCCGGTGATTATGAGTTATGAATAAAGATGTATTAGCTTTTAAAATATTTTACTATGTACTACTAATAAAAAGTCCGTTGAACGGCATTCTGTTTTGTTTGGTCAAAGAACATTCATTTTTAGAAAGTCAAGTCTAACAAAAATTGTGTCACAAATCACAAATACTTGATCTTAGCTATAGAGGGCGTTTTCCAAATGTTAAACGACATTCTTTCGATTTGAGTTTTTTTTGGTATAAACCCGGTATGCATGTAACTACCTAATAGCTTGTTGAAATACATATATAAACGTATTTCCGGGTATCAAACATAGAATGCCAGGACTAACACCACAACTAGACAAAAGAAATGTTATCTGTATAAATAGCAGACGAC